CTCCCAATTTCTGAAAGTCGTCGACTATGGTATTAACCCTCCCAAATTCTGAGAGTTGGCGACTATGGTTATTAGCCCTCCCAAATTCTGAAGGTCGAAGATTATGGTTATTACTTCTCCAAAATTCTGAGAGTCGACGACTATGTTTATTAGCCCTTCCAAATTATGAGGGTCGAATATTATGGTATTACTTCTCCAAAATTCTGAGAGTCGACGACTATGGTTATTAGCCCTCCTAAGTTCTGAGGGTCGACGACTATGGTTATTAGCCCTCCCAATTTCTGAAAGTCGTCGACTATGGTATTAACCCTCCAAAATTCTGAGAGTCGGCGACTATGGTTATTAGCCCTTCCAAATTATGAGGGTCGAATATTATGGTATTACTTCTCCAAAATTCTGAGAGTCGACGACTATGGTTATTAGCCCTTCCAAATTATGAAGGTCGTTGACTATGGTTATTCATTATTATCTATTCCTCACTGCCTGCATCAGCCTTGCTAATTCAAGCTTCCCAGTTCCAGTCCATATCCTAAGGTCATCGAGCCAAGAGGTTCTCTTGCTGCTTCTCTTATTTGTTCCATCATTTTTACCCATTAGAATTTCTTTCAAATTTACCCCGGATCTAATTATATGCCCAAAGTAGCGTGTCTACCGTTTCCTACATCTATTTAGCAGTTCTCATTTTGTTCTAGCACATTCCAGTACTTCCGCGTTAGTCTTTTTTTTTTCTAGATTGGTGATCTTCGTCATTCTTCTATAACAACACCACGTTTCAGATGCTTTCAACCGTCATTTCATTTCAACATAACATGGGCCATACGTAACGTTATAGTAGCCTCTTCTTCAGTTCTAATGTAACATCTCTGCTAGCAATTTTTTGAGACTGAATAATGTGAAGAATGCTGTTTGTGCTATTCTGCCCTTCGATTTATCTTTTCTCAACACTTGCCATCATTACTGATATTTGTCCCTAAATAAGTAAACTCCCCTACTTGTTCCAATTCTTAATGCATATTCACAGATTCTGGAAACTTCCTCAGATCTAGAAATTTCCATTGCCTTAGTTTGGTGACCTGTATTCTTAGTCTAAGCTCTTTCACTTTATCAAAAAGCCTGTGGTGTAACATTTGGACATAAAACTGCATCATTAGCACACCTGCTGATACAGACTTTATTTGTTAACTTTAATTCCTCATGTATTAATAATAATTATAGCAGATTCCAGATGATGTTCAGTAGACATAACATAGTTATATTAATGATGTTTTGATGTCTCTTCTCACTGCCACATCCCCACTGTACAGCAGATTCCAGATGATGTTCAGTAGACATAACATAGTTATATTAATGATGTTTTAATGTCTCTTCTCAGTGCCACATCATCACTGTACAGCAGATTCCAGAGGATGTTTAGTAGACGTAACATAGTTATATTAATGATGTTTTAATGTCTCTTCTCAGTGCCACATCATCACTGTACAGCAGATTCCAGAGGATGTTTAGTAGACGTAACATAGTTATATGAATGATGTTTTAATGTCTCTTCTCAGTGCCACGTATTCCGTTAAACAGCGTGATCCAAAAAATGGTTATTAGGCAAGGCTGGGTAACTTAATGATACTTTTAGCGTCACATACCCCAGAGGATGTTCAGTAGCTAGGTCAAGATAGTATTAATGATTGTTTAATATGTCTTTTCACTGTCGCATACCCCACCAAACATTAAGATTAAAAGTATATTCGGTATACAAAAGAAGATGTTGTATTTTAATGTGTTTACTCACTGCTAGATACCCTATCATATGTACGCCAGGTACAGACAAATCTAAACTCTAAGATTCTATTTTTTCAATACACTTAAGAGATTTTGTGCGAGACAAAAAAATTTGAAGAAAACATCAATAAAAGAAATAACTTATTGAAGTCTCTTTATTGTCCAAGTTCACTGTTGATTTACATTGATCAGTGAAGAGAAAGGCGTCTTTTTGTAGCTATAAGTTTGTATTTACGTGTTTTGTTTTCACCAATGACACTATTGACGACTTATTTCCTGAAGAGATAATTAGCTTATTGACATCAAATAGAAAGCAGTATCTTCCAGAAAACCCTCTACTTTATCCTCCGGACTAATTCGTGCGTCACATTCGAACTCTTTCACAATACATTCGGCTAATTGAGTTCTTCTCATTACTCGTTTTCAGATGAATAAAGTTCTCGACGCACTTGATTTGAGATCATTTAGAACCATGAAGGTAAGTAAACCTTGAAATTATTTAGTAATTACTCTAATTAGTCGTTTCATTATTTCGCATCAGAAGCTTTCTTTTTCCGGGCGTATTCAGTCATTAAACTAGAATACGTTTTCAACATCCTAGAAGCATTAGAACAATTAGAGCAAAGTCAGTTTTAATTGAGATTTGTTATTTGAATTCATAATATATACAGGATATATGTTTCTTAACATATATCTATACATACTTATAAACAAAGGCATAATTATATCTATTTAAATATTGCACGGTGACGTCATTTAGTAAACTTTTCGAGCATACGCAATCTTAGTTCTTTTTTCATTCAAAAGCATATTAAGGTTCTTGATATTAGATGAATAATTATTGTATTGCTTACGTTATCGAGGCTTGATATTATATGAATGGTTATATTATCACGTCTGTTATCTGGTTAGATGTTAGATGAATGGTTATATTATCACGT